TTCTGCTGAAACCACAAGACCTGCTGGGAGTTTACAACAATCCAGTGCAGGCAGTGACACGATCAGACAAGACTAATGGAACCAAAATTCACACAACACATCAAGCAATACTAGACAAGGGAAACCTGAGAGGGTATAAATACAAAAGAGCAAACGATTAAACAAGACACAGTCAGTGATCAGTGAACGTACACAACAGCTTAGAAACGCAGAGGTAGTAAGACAATAAGACTTGGCTGATTTTAGTGTTTGTGTACATATCATCATTATATCCCACAATTCTGTGCATGATTGATTGGTGTAATAAATTAAAACAGTGTCTGGAAAAAAAGGGGGAAATGAATTTAGAAATGTCCATGTAATAAATTAAATAATAAAATCAACTTATGACTCCATTTCTAAGAAATAAGCATTGTGGCCACTTAAATATTCACTTGGTTATTAACACCGATTTGAATGTGTTCTAGATCATTAGACATGATGTTATTGTGCCTTGGAAAGCCTGTCTAGTTTCTCTTCGTACTAAAACACAGTCTATTTAGTCAAGCTAGTTGGCTTAGGTTTTGGACACAGCCATGGGCTAAAAACTACAACATCAAAATAAGGGGCCGACATAAAAGTGAGACGGACATAAAGCAAAAAAAAAAAAACGTTACTCTCTCACTTATTGACTGTATGTGTGTAGTGCAGTAACCTTTCTACCACTGAGACATCTGATTCAATTTAGTGAATATGTTTGTTCGCAACTTTTTGTAAGCAACTTGTAAGTGTACTGTAACTAACTTTAGTGTAGTACTTCAGAAGGGCAGCTTGACTGTCATTTGGCAACTTGAAATTCTGAGTAGGTTGTGGTTAGCTTGTCTTTCGATTCATACAAAGATCCATGGCTTTCAAGGGGGTTTGTTGGATGTTGAGTAAGTTCATACAGTGATTAAGAAGTTCATTCGTGCTATGGAGGTTGTTTCTTAGAACATTTATATATATGAAAAAGGAAATAACATTTTCAGTGTTATTAAATGCTTTAATAAACTGTGAATTTTAACAAACAGGCTAAAGATTTTTTTCAAATATAGCCTAACATCTTCCCTTTAATACTGTAATTTCTACACTATTGCTGAAAGCCAGTTTTCTCCTCTGTGAACTATTATGTTCAGTGAGGATTACACAACTCTTTTACTGACCGATCAGTACAGTACTTTGGAAACTGTGGAATAAATTGGTTTACATCCTTTTCATCCTGATTTCAGCCTTTCAAATCCTTACAGAATCTCATAATGCCAATCCCCTTGACAGAGCACGTGCTCCTCTAATTTTGTTATTTCATTGCCGTCTCACTGGAGCATTATAATAGCGTTCATGATATTAATATCAAAGCATGCAATCATGATTACCTGACCAGAGAGTATTACCATCATCAAACAACTGGCCTTTTGGCTTTAAGTTAGTGGAAACAATGTTTCATAGATTCAACCCATGTTTATATGATCTTTACATAAGAATCCTGGAATAGTTATTGCTACATAGCAGTCGCGAAGGAAAGCTTTAGAGCTTTTTATTTGATTATTTGACACACACAAACACACACACACACACACACTTATTTTGAAAATGAAATTTTTTGTAACAATATAAAAGTCTGTCACTTTTGCTCAGTTTATTGCGTTTAGTATTGTTGAATATTAATTTCTTAAAAACAAATTGTAGTGTATACATTAGGGGTGTAACGGTTGTCACGGTGAACACACACACGAGGGACGAGGAGACGCTGGAGAATGCTTTACCAAGACTTTATTTACAGGAACCAAGGGAGACGAACACAGGAATTAAACAGACCTATACTCAAACTGCGATCGCTCGCGGAGATTATAACCGAACACCGAATACGGAGTTTTTTCCCCCATGTAATTTGCAATTTTTTTTTCACCATTGCATAAATTAAAAAGCCAAAATGTGCTTTTTACGGTTTTGTCTTGCTTTTCAAAGAAAAAAAATCAATTACAAAACAACAATCTAAAAATATTTAACACTGAACATTTGTAATTCTGCAGTTTATTTACTAATTGTTTAAGGCCATTTCGCGATTTCAATTATCATACGGTAACCAGCAACAATCACCCCTTCCTCTTCTCATTGAAGACATGCGATGCAGTCCTAAACAGTCTCTCGCTGTCGGTGCTTGTAATGATTTAAGAGTGCGCGCCTCTCACTCACAATAGCGCTGGTTGCTATTTGATCGCGTCATATCATTGTTCGGTACAATTTATTCGGTCTTTTCGCTTATTCGAAATTCGAATTGCTATTTTCGGCCGAATAATTTTGGTTGCCAAACATTCAGTGCATCCCTAGTTGTATTTATTTAGATGTTTATTAGCGAAATAATGGTTATATTGTAAATGTTAATACAATTTAGGGTGTGGCATAAATTGTCAGCATATTAGAATGATTTCTTAAGGATCATGTGACACTTCATACTGGAGTAATGGCTGATGGAAATTCAGCTTTGCATCACAGGAATAAATTATATTTTAAAGGATATTAAAATAGAAACCATTATTTTTTTTTATTGTAATAACATTTAGCAAGATTACTATTTTTTTCTGTATTTTTAATCAAATAAATGCAGCATTGATGAGCATAAGAGACTTCTTTAAAAAACATTACAAGTCTTACTGATCCCAAACCTTTGAACGGTAGTAGTGTATATACATGTTCCAGTCCTCGAATATGATTGGTCGAGTTCAAGTTGAATTCAAAATGTTATGGTGTTTTTGTAGTTATTTTCAGAGCAGTGTGATATGTCAGCCATAGAATTGTCAGATCAACAAATTAAAGTGCAGCAGAGCATTTACTAGCATGATTTTCAATTCATTAAAATAAATTATGAGGTGAAACAGCTCAATGCATTTGGGAAAATTTAAATGCTGAGCTGAAACAATACACAGGCTGATGTTTGTGCGAATCGCAGTGCATGAAGTCAAGAAAGTAAGAGAACTTTCTCCAGCTGATGATCTTTATACCCTCTGTTAACATCTGTACTGGACTGGCTGTAGGAGGTGTGTTGCAGTCTGTTTTGCCATCTGATTTTTCAAATCAGTTGGGAACACTGTAAGAAGAAAATAAAACTCCCATACATATATCTCAAATAAAAAGCCCATGTATATAGACAAGATGTTCAGCATGGACTGCCCCATCAATGATAGACAAATGCTCACATTTTGAAAGAAATAAAAACATCTAGCGGAATGGATATACAGCTGTTGTCGAACAGTAGCAGAAACATCTGTTTGTCATGTATGCCAGACAGGGATTTTCTCCGGTGAAGCCACACGATGAGTCTTTTCCTCTCTTTTTTTAGTTCTTCTCCCCTTGCCATCTGTAGTTCATGAATAATCATTGAGAAATGACCTCTTTAGGGTTTTTCAAATGTCTTGCCCTTTTCTCGGACGAGTCCAGCACCCAGAGGTAACTGTGCAGATTGGTGATCCGTTAAGCACAGATATATCTGTCTTTACTCGCCGTTTCTCTCAAGGATGGTCTTTGCTCCTCCCATTCCCACTCTTTCTTTTCACCACCATTGTTTCCTCTCTCTTATTCACCTCTTCTTTCTACCCTACACAAATCATTGATTTTTCAGAGGTTCTATAAAATATTTACGATGTGTGGGCAGGCCTCTTTCTTTGGGAATTTGGCGAGGGAAAATCATTTTGAAGGCAAAGTCGTAAAAGGAAAAAGAGAGAGACAGACAGGCAAAAAGAAAGAAAGAAAGAAAGAGAGAGGGAGAGAAAGGCAAAAAAGAAAAGGCAAGATAAGAGCCATGGAAGCCTTTCTGGCATCGTGTTTGGAATATCAATGGCCCACTTTGGAACAACTCCTGAATATAAATAAATAAGCAGATACACTGGTAAAGATTGCTCTCTTCTTAAAGCCTCAGATCGAATTGATTCCAAGCAGATTCTCACTCTCTTTGGCTCTGAGGACACACTTCTTTGGTTTTCATTTTTCCATCTGCCACACCAGCTCCTTTCCTTCCACTTGAGTTGTTACATGTTACAGTATCATTGAGAATGAGAATATAATTTAATTACAGACAACTATTTGTTTTTCAGTAAAACGATTCGATGTAGAGGTGTTTCTTCAACTATAGGCACTGTTAGCCCTGTAGACTTTTTGTAAAAAATAAACTCTTAAAACACACTTTTCATATTTTCATTAGCATTCTGGGGTGAAAATGGAGTGATGGAAATTATATTTTTTTAATAACACGGCTGACTCCTTTCCCTTATTAAGTCTAATTTCATAGCTAGCATTTTATATATTTTAATTCACACAAATGATATTTTCACACAGCTTGATTGAAAATGACACAAAATATTCTGTTGAGAAGTTGTATTGAGCTTGATTTTTCTTCACAACTCCCATCTCATGAATCAAACATGCTCTTCACTGACACACTGATTTCTCCTTGGAAAAACATGGAAAAAAATGTATTAGGTTCAAAACTGTTGGTTGTGGTTGAAAATATGCAAAAGCTGAGGGATTTCCACACATGCTCCTTTATGGATTATCATAGTTTTAAACATGTCAAGGACAAGGGATAAACAATAAAATCTGTACATAAATAGAAAAAAAAAATTTTGATCACCCAAATTAGAGGCTGGACCTTCATTAAAACCCGATATCCTTTTTAGTTTAAATCAGGGCAAAGGCAGCATCAAGATGACAATTGTTTTAGATAAAGCAACAAATAGCAGTTCTTGTGCAGCTGGTTGCCATCTGGCTTTAACTTAGCACCTTTTCTAGCTCATTTAGCACATAACCTTTTCTAAGACAAGCACATTATAAATCAGAGAAGCCACACTTGAATGAGCCTGTGCCCTATTGTCAAAAGACTGGACGCTCCATTGGTCTTTTTACTGTTTCTTTCCATCTATTTGATTAGTGGTTCTTGGTTTAATTATATGGCAACTCTTTTAACCATACCTATTTTTGTTTTTCTAAAGGTGGGAGGGACGATGTACAACACCGGCCGCCATGTCTCACTCCGACTCGACAAAGAGCACCTGGTGAACATCTCTGGTGGACCAATGACTTACAGCCATCGTCTTGAGGAGATCAGGTTACACTTTGGAAGCGAGGATGGACAGGGCTCTGAGCATCTCCTCAACGGCCAGGCCTTTTCTGGGGAGGTGAGCTACGTCATGAGTGGGCTACAGATCAGATTGTAGAGCACCAGTAGCTGCTGATAATCATCAGCCTATTGATCTGTTAAGGTCACCATCTAAGTGCAAAGTGTAAAGACAGCAGGCCTCGAAGGTCAACGGCGGTTGTAGGCTGAAAGCAAAACTCTCCATGGCATATATAGGTCTAAAATATTCTGATGTTTTTATGCATCGACAGAGCATGCATTTCATGAAATGTTTAACATGGTTTGCATCACAGTTTGCACCCTGTTGAACAATATTCTTTAGCATACTGAAAAACGCAGCAATATTTTGGGCTGAAATAGTCCTAACTGTATTGCTGATGATGACTGGGTGTGCTCATTCTCCATTGTAAGTGGTCTCCCACTAACAGAGCCATAACAGTGGGGAAAAGCATTTCAATTACATTCATGGTGTAAATTTAGCATGCGCTGCACTGCGGCCTCCATCATTTGATAAAGTCTCCAGTCAGTGAAGGCCTGACATTTCTCTTTGAGGGTAATAAGACCGACGATTTGTGTGGCAACAAAATAAGCGTGAGCTTGACAGGCAAATCCTCAGTAATTAATGATTATAATTTCTTCCTCCCCCCACCCCGTGGCAGCCAGCTGATAATCCAACAATAATAAAACAAAGTGTCAACAGTCTATCAGGGCAAAGAGAAGCGTGGCTTGGGCACCAAAAGGCCAGCTCTGTCTTTCACTCTTATGTTGAAACCATTACTTCTCAAGGTAGACAACAGTAGCTAAATCTATATTCATAGTTGTTATTGCTTCAGCTAATGAATTTATGCCTCGACTGTATCTGGAGAAAGATGTCTGTTGGCATTCATATTCATCTCAGTTGTTCGGCTAGTGCAGGACTCAACAGAGGTACACTACCATTCAAAAGTTTTGGGTCAGTAAGATTTTTTTTTTGGTTGTTTTAATTTTTGGGAAAGTATTTATTAGCTGAGGAGTAATGGCTACTGAAAATTCAGCTTTGCCATAATTTTGAATTATATTTTTAAAATAGAAAACAGTTATTTTCAAATGTAATAGTGGTGAGCAGAAGAGGCTTCTTTCAAAAACATTAAAAAATCTGAACTCTTTTCAACTTTTAAATGGTAGTCTATGTGATTGTGTAAACTTAAGAATCATCTTAATTTCAATTTAATGAGATGACGTGAATTTAATTGGCCATAATCCAGAGGAAGTTAAATTGGAATTTGAACTTTATTTTAAGGTCCAGTTCTCGCTATTAACAAACCACTAACTATGAATTTTACCTCAATAAACTCCTCATTTGCTACTTACTAATAAGGTAGTTGTTAAGTTTAGTCATTGGGTAGGATTGGGTATGTAGAATATGGTCATGCAGAATATGTGCTTTATAAGTGCTAATAAACAGCCAATCTGTTAATAATAGGCATGCTAATACTGTGCCCTATTGTCAAAAGACTGGACGCTCCATTGGTCTTTTTACTGTTTCTTTCCATCTATTTGATTAGTGGTTCTTGGTTTAATTATATGGCAACTCTTTTAACCATACCTATTTTTGTTTTTCTAAAGGTGGGAGGGACGATGTACAACACCGGCCGCCATGTCTCACTCCGACTCGACAAAGAGCACCTGGTGAACATCTCTGGTGGACCAATGACTTACAGCCATCGTCTTGAGGAGATCAGGTTACACTTTGGAAGCGAGGATGGACAGGGCTCTGAGCATCTCCTCAACGGCCAGGCCTTTTCTGGGGAGGTGAGCTACGTCATGAGTGGGCTACAGATCAGATTGTAGAGCACCAGTAGCTGCTGATAATCATCAGCCTATTGATCTGTTAAGGTCACCATCTAAGTGCAAAGTGTAAAGACAGCAGGCCTCGAAGGTCAACGGCGGTTGTAGGCTGAAAGCAAAACTCTCCATGGCATATATAGGTCTAAAATATTCTGATGTTTTTATGCATCGACAGAGCATGCATTTCATGAAATGTTTAACATGGTTTGCATCACAGTTTGCACCCTGTTGAACAATATTCTTTAGCATACTGAAAAACGCAGCAATATTTTGGGCTGAAATAGTCCTAACTGTATTGCTGATGATGACTGGGTGTGCTCATTCTCCATTGTAAGTGGTCTCCCACTAACAGAGCCATAACAGTGGGGAAAAGCATTTCAATTACATTCATGGTGTAAATTTAGCATGCGCTGCACTGCGGCCTCCATCATTTGATAAAGTCTCCAGTCAGTGAAGGCCTGACATTTCTCTTTGAGGGTAATAAGACCGACGATTTGTGTGGCAACAAAATAAGCGTGAGCTTGACAGGCAAATCCTCAGTAATTAATGATTATAATTTCTTCCTCCCCCCACCCCGTGGCAGCCAGCTGATAATCCAACAATAATAAAACAAAGTGTCAACAGTCTATCAGGGCAAAGAGAAGCGTGGCTTGGGCACCAAAAGGCCAGCTCTGTCTTTCACTCTTATGTTGAAACCATTACTTCTCAAGGTAGACAACAGTAGCTAAATCTATATTCATAGTTGTTATTGCTTCAGCTAATGAATTTATGCCTCGACTGTATCTGGAGAAAGATGTCTGTTGGCATTCATATTCATCTCAGTTGTTCGGCTAGTGCAGGACTCAACAGAGGTACACTACCATTCAAAAGTTTTGGGTCAGTAAGATTTTTTTTTTGGTTGTTTTAATTTTTGGGAAAGTATTTATTAGCTGAGGAGTAATGGCTACTGAAAATTCAGCTTTGCCATAATTTTGAATTATATTTTTAAAATAGAAAACAGTTATTTTCAAATGTAATAGTGGTGAGCAGAAGAGGCTTCTTTCAAAAACATTAAAAAATCTGAACTCTTTTCAACTTTTAAATGGTAGTCTATGTGATTGTGTAAACTTAAGAATCATCTTAATTTCAATTTAATGAGATGACGTGAATTTAATTGGCCATAATCCAGAGGAAGTTAAATTGGAATTTGAACTTTATTTTAAGGTCCAGTTCTCGCTATTAACAAACCACTAACTATGAATTTTACCTCAATAAACTCCTCATTTGCTACTTACTAATAAGGTAGTTGTTAAGTTTAGTCATTGGGTAGGATTGGGTATGTAGAATATGGTCATGCAGAATATGTGCTTTATAAGTGCTAATAAACAGCCAATCTGTTAATAATAGGCATGCTAATAAGCAACTAGTTAATAGTGAGAATTGGTCCATATCCTAAAGTGTTACCAAAGTTACAAATGTGTGAATTTCAATTCATTTTAATTCAACTAAAATTTACATTCAAACTGCAGTTCTGCATCCTGTTTGTTTCCGCAATTCGAATTCAGGAATTGAATTGGAATTTAAAAGGCATCCTCAATGTTTTTTGAGTCACTCAGCTGAGTCAAAATTACCAGGCGACTAAAAACACTAGAGCAGAAAGAAAATGACGTCATGTTTCTGAAAGAGCTTTCAGAATCACTCTTCCTTGTGCTCAGGAATAGCTCTGTATAAAAAACGTCTGAGAATGTAAATTAAACCAAATGAGCCGGGACTGTGCCTGTCCTTGAAAAGAGAATAGAGAAGAAGAATATTACTTAACTTAAAATGACAAACACATTCCCAACCAGTGACTGTTTTGCATTCAAATGCAGCCAAGCTTTTAAGCTTTATTTGGATATCTGTCTCCGTAACATTCAACATGGCTGCCTTTCTCTTGTCTCATTTGTTCTATAGTAATAAAAGATTATGTTTGACTGATGCTCACGGTACCCAGAGGGAAGTTACCTCTCTGCAGATGTGTTGCAGCACCTCTGACTTAATATATGCCTCGTTCTCCCAGATTCTAGATGGGCAGTCTCACTCACAAGCTGAAAATGAAACACCAGTGATGAAATGAGTCCTAAAATATTCAAGGTGTTTTTTACGGACTTGCCTAGGTGGTTTCCCTCTATCTTTATTTCCCCTTGGAGGGAAAAAAACATAACAGCAAATAAATAATGTACTGCATATTAGATAACTTTCTAGCATGCACAAACAACTGAAAGCTTTTCGCAAAGATTTGTCTGTTGTGTTTGTCTCTGTTATGTCTCCATTTCACATGCTTCAGTGTCTTTCAATAAACCAAGTAATCATTTTGCAGGAATATATGTTTAGCTTTTAGCCATCATTTATAGGTGTATTAAAGGGATAGTGTCGTTCCAAACCCGTAAGACCTTCATTAATCTTAGGAACACAAAATGAGAATCCTGCATCAGCAGCACCACACGCATGGGTCGTTATTTAAAGTCATTATTTTTGTTTTCTTTGAGCACAAAAAGTATTCTCGTAGCTTCATAACATTACGATTGAACCACTGATGGCACATGGACTATTTTAATGATGTCCTTACTACTATTCTGGGCCTTGAACGTGTCAGTTGCGTTGCTGTCTATGGAGGGTCAGAAAGATCTTGGATTCATCAAAAATGTCTTAATTTGTGTTCCAAAGATGAACAACGGTCTTACGGGTTTGGAACGACATGAGGGTGAGTAATTATTGACAGAATTTTTTTTTTTTGGGTGAACTATCCCTTTAAGTTGTTTTCATACATCACAATGCACAAATCACAACTACATTTCATTATGCAATGATGCATTTTATTACCACATAATACCATAATCTATGACGTAAAGACAGAAATATGTGGATGTGCAGATATATTGCTGTTTCTAAATGAAACGACAGTCTCAGACATTTTAAAAAGTTTGCAAATATATATAAACAGAACAATCAAATTATTTTCATTAAAAAGAGTTAGTTTCTTTGCAATAATAAACAAAAAATCCACTGATTTGCACAACCATCTAACAGCCCACACTTCTGTTTTCGATCCCCTTCTCACCCTTTCATTAATTTCTAATTATCAATGGTAGCAAAATAACACATTACCATCGCTGTTCAGAGCTTAGATGCCACAGTATATTTGCTCATTAAAATCCCATTTTCATATGTCCTAAATATAGCAAAGTGCCATCTAAAAAGTACAGCAGAAAATTGGAAATCATCAAACTTCTACCATAACTAATTATATTATGTTATAAATTGCATAACAGCCCTCTCCATCATGTCCCGTCCTACTAAAAACCCTACGATCAGATGCCATGCTGTGATGGGTTTCACAGGCTACGTGCTCCTTCACAGGACATCTTAACGTAATCAAATAGGATTGTTCTCCGTACTCTCGCGCTTCGGTTTATTTGCTTTATGAGCGCACGCTCCGATTTATCCGCTATTGGATGGCGGTTCCAGGCGACTGCTTTTCATTTGCCCTGTTAGCGCTGTCCACCGCTCTTTTTGCTATCGACTTGCTGTCTTCATATTTCGCCCATGGTAGGCCTAAGCCAGCTATCACACAATAAAGAGCTTGTCAGGGGGCCCACCAGAGGCATAAGCTGTCTCCCGTCGTAGCAGAGACACCTCTCCTCTCATAGTCTGACAGATCCGTCTGTCTGCAAAGATGCGCTGAACATTTCCTGCTACTGTTCGACACCTTTCCACCATCTGCAAAATTCACAGAACCAATGGATCCGGTTAGATGAGCGGAGCAGCTTTTCGCACATATAATGTGACTTCTTAGAAAGTCTATGAAGTCGGTTGAGTGTAAACGTTTGGGGTTGAATCGCTTCAGACTCGCTCTGGTTAGAGGCGAGGGAAAGAAATGGCTTCCCGCACGACAAAAAAAAATCTAATCAAATTAACATTCGCTCTGTAATCGCGTTCCTCCACACTTGATTAAGTTTATAGACGATCTGTCATTCCCTGGCTCCCCTTTTGCATATTTCATAATTACTATCAGCCACACAGTTTTTAATTTATTTCTTTAAAAAAACACAGCAGGCTAAACAGGGCTTGGTAAAGAATCGATCCCTTCCTTCTTAGCAAAAAAAAAAAGGATGTACGACGCCGCTCCCAGCAACTCTACAGCAGTCCTCAAAACTGTTTACAGTGTTCTGTGGTGGGATAAGACCTTGAACGAGACACTTTTTCCCATTAGAAAAACTTATTTTACAATAATTGTTCGCTGCTCAAGTTAATCTGTCCATTTCTTGGCTCTGCTTTCTTTCTGTGGAGTTCACGGAGAAGAAATTGTGTCCTCTTCACCTATCTAAACTGCCTAAGTTTTAAAGCTCTTTCACAGGGACAGTGTGCGCTCAAGCGATTCACCGGAGGAAGATTAGCCGAGCTTCACAATGAATTCGAATTTAAATTTGACAGACATGTTCAAACAAAAGACAGAAGCAGCTGTTTACCTGTGATTGTGATTCAGAGCCATCTGTAATGACAAAAACTCAGGCTGTTATCCAAACGGACTCTCCGCTTATTCAAACCGTCACTTTTTTTTTTTTCATATTTATTTGAGGTGAAAACAGGTTGTAAGATTAAATCTGCACTATGAAAAATGAATTTTCGGTAATTGCCATGCAAAGTATTATCAATCAGTAATTATTCCCAATTATGCTTTCATATTTCATACAATCCAAGAGAAATTTGGACTTAATATCTCAACACCTGCACAGCTGACACTTGACATAAACAACAACCTTTTTTGTGGGAAAAAAAGAGCAAAGACAGTACTTGTACATGTTTCCCTGTGCCATGTACTTAAGCTGACACTATTTTATCCTTGATTGTGAGCATAATGCGAAGTAGGGAAGCATTTTTTTTTTACTAAAATTTAAAACCAACTAATGCCCATTTTGTCTTTACACAGGTGCAGCTTATACATTACAACCATGAACTGTACACAAACTACACAGAAGCTGCTAAGAGTCCAAATGGCTTGGTGATAGTGTCTATATTTATGAAGGTGAGTAATGATCATACACTCAACAACTGAAAGTGAAAGCACAGAAACCAAGTATTTTAAGCAATATCTTTATTGCGTAATCTCAGATAATCTCTGTACTATCCACTCCACAGTAGTGTGAAAACACAGACTGACATAAATGTTTGTTTCTAAGTACATTTTGTTATAAATTACAAATTATTCACAGAAAAACATCATTCTTAAAAATTTATCTCGTGTATATATATATATATATATATACACGAGATACATTTTTATAAATAGTGTGTTCAAAAGTACAGCATTTATTTCTCAATTTGAATTTGGACATTCATTCAATAGATGGATGGAGGATGGATAAGAGGAAGAGACCGAAACAATTAGCCATGCAATTACCAGACAACAGGCAAACTAAGTGTGCATCTCCCGGTCATTCTGGAAGGACAAGGTTATGATAACTTTCCCCTGCTTTATTAAAGACTGAGAGTAGACATGGCTGCAGAGATTCCCTCAGGACAAGAGTTCAAGCTAAGATAATTAACCCATCCAGTGTCATTGGCAGGCTTATTCCGTGAGTCTGGTCCAGTCACCTCTGCTGTCTGTCCATATGGAAAACGCCTAATTCATGCTCAGTAATATATAGTCTGTGCATCTAAACCCAATATGGACATTCTCCATATACTATAGAGAGACAGTTATATATCTGTGCTATGATCAAACACTACATTAACCATTTTTTTGTATTTACATTTAACATTCAATTAAGCACTGATATTTACATATTGGGATCATTCATTATGTGCCAACACTGTACATACAAATGTGTACTGTCATGTCAAATGTGTGGATTTGACATATAGCATTCGAAAATTATTTGAGAACACATTCAAACTATAGCTATCTATTAAATAGCTCTATCTATTAAAGAAAGGCTGACAGGTTGACAGCTAATAGTGCTGACATAACCATATTTTTGAATATCAAAAATGTGTGTTTTGCTGGTGTTCCTATCTACTAAAAGTTAGTACAATTCTCAAACATGTTCTTCACAATTTTGATGATGGTTTCTGATGCTGTTGACAAAAAGTAAGGATATGGCAGTTAAGCTATATTAGAGAGGTATATTTTTCATCCTGCCAGGACATAATATAAATATTAGGGCTGTCAATAGATTAAAGGGGTCATATGATGAGATTTCAAGTTTTCCTTTCTCTTTGGAGTGTTACAAGCTCTTGGTGCATAAAGAAGATCTGTAAAGTTGCACAGACTAAAGTCTCAAATCCAAAGAGATATTCTTTATAAAAGTTAAGAGTCAACCACTCCTACATAAAATGGCTCGTTCTAACACGCCTCCACATGTCTACGTCACTATGTGGGAAGATTTGCATAACGCCACCCAAATGTTCATGCAAAAAAAGAAGGCGTAACTTTAATTCTTGCTGTTGCCGGGAAGGGTGATTCTCAAAAATCTGTATTTTCTGCAAGCTTTTCTCAGGATAAATGTAGATGTCTTTCCAAAATAGGACTCCAAAAGAACTCTAAAAGGATACTCCAAAAGGACACCAAGGAACCAAATGATATAAGGAACCCGTATAAGCACATATGAAAGAAAAGAAAATGCAAAAAAAATATATATATACAGTGATTGCAGTCTTCATCCATCAAAACTTTACTAGCGAGACTGATTATCCAGTCGAGAAAACAGTTTGCATGTGTTGTGTTGACAATCCGTTCAGTCTGTACTTCACACAGCGCGACGTGTTAGGGCTCGCGCTCTTCAGAGACAATCACAGAATATGACAGAGCTCGTGTTTAAAAGCAAAACAAACTGGAATGAATAATTCACTGAAAACGCAACGGGAGTCTCTGTTCTCTCTGCAATCTCTGATGTAATCAGCCTGGTTTCCTTTATATTAGCGCTGTTTGAATGCATTCGCTTACTGGATCATTGGACTGAAAACTCTCCCGGAGTTTAGCAACTTAAAATTATCTGATCGCAAGCAGAGAAGCAACAGAAATTTTGCATTAACTGCGTTAAATTATTTGAACGCGTTAAGGATTGTAAAATTAATCGCATGTGTTAACGCGTTATCGTTGACAGCCCTAATAAATATACATAATATAAATATAAATTTTCTTTTATATATATTTAAGTATAATTCTGTTTATTCTATCTATATTTTTATTATTATGAAATGTTTTTAACTATGGTATTTTGGCAGAAATTATGGTTACTGTGGTATTTTTATTAGGATATGTTTGACAAAATTTGAAACAAATTTAAAGCATTTTCTGTATGATTTGAGACATTTCTCTTAAGAGGCCAATTTTAAGTCTCCATATTATTCTATTTTCAGGTTAATTTCTAACTGATGTGTTTGATGTTATTCAGTTATACTTTACTGCAGTCACTGCCCTCCCCTGTCATTGATCCCAATGAGAACATTGTGACTTCACTCCTATTTTCCTGCGCTTTTCTTCTCTGTAACATGAGTCACCCAATGCCATTTTCTGAGGAACCCCATGCTGTGTTCCCAGTTATGGCGCCACACCTCTGGGAGGGACTCCCATCTGAGTCTAAATAGTATGAACACAAAGGATCTCAAAAAAAAAAGCACTATCAATAGAGGGACAAGCATAAAATGGAGGAGGCTGGAGAGAAGCCAGCCATTTTGTTTGTGATATAAACAGCTACTTGTATGAATAGCAAAGTTGTTATTCTTAGAATATTGATTGCGAGGGAAAGTAAAAGCTATTCTTTTTTTCATGCACTGTGTAGTCAAGCCTAATTATTTCTTGGTAGAGATAATGGCTAGCCATAGCCACAGGTTCTATAACAGAAAGTCTCGAAATGATGCGACGAAGACTTTTAAGCCTCAGACTTCACTGTTCGCTGAATGAGGTCAAAAGAGAAGTGATTTGTGGTGTAGTCACAAGGCACATTTCTTTTAATCGTTCAGACTGAAAACGTTTCAAATTAGCAAGTAAAGTGGAGTCAAAGAAAAGCACTGTAACTATCTCATTGGCTACATTCATGCTCTTTTACTTGCTAAAAACAGCCACAATTTTTGAAGAACTTTTCTTGGCAAACACGTCAGTGTGTCATAAGTGATTCTATCAGGTGTCATTTAATTACAGAACACTGTTCAGGTTCATCCTGATGCATTTGAGTGCAGTCAAAACAGTTTCAGCTCCTTAATGGATCAAGTAAATTTCAAGAGACGTGACGCTAGCGCCACAGTTTTTTTACATTAGAAACTAGATGACTGGGAGATTTCCTTCCCAAGATGTTGATTCGGTTTTTTTTCCTCAGTCATGTTTGTCTGCCTTTTAGAAATAAAGTTGTCACTAATAATCTGCTTCTTTTTACTTTCCCCTCGACCCTCTTTCTCGCCCTTTTCCCCTCTCCTGTCTATCACTCTGTCCTTCTCATCTGTTTTTCACTGTTCTGCCCTTCCTCCCTTGACATCTGTTTCATTTCAGATATCCGAGACTTCAAATTCATTTCTGAATCGGATGTTGAACAGAGACACCATCACAAGAATAACATATAAGAGTAAGTGGAAAAATATTATTGTTGACCATTTGACACTAAATCCAATTTGGTTTTCAAAGGCGCTCGATTGTACTGACATTTTGCAAGTGATGAAATCATATCAGTTTGTTCAGACAGTATAGTCAGTATCAGGTGTTGCTTCATCAGCAGCTAGAGAAATGACGTAAGCATCTCCATGAGATCTGAGGTTAGCTGTCGGTGAGGAAAACTGGAGATATTGAGTCTGCTTATGTTTATGACATCTCGAGGCGGTGCTGAATCATGAGTAGCATGAGAAAATAAATGACAGAGGAATGTTACATATTCATGTGTCCAAAACCGTGGACTCGTTTACTTATATAGTTACTATTTACTACGTAGTGAATATCACATAGGCAAGATTGAGGTGAATTGAGTGCATTCAGACACAATATTTTGCACTAAGAGGTTACATAGATGTCAAATTCCTACTTATATAATGAGATTTTAAACCACATACACTGCCATTCAAAAGTTTGGGGTCTGCAATTTTTTACGTTTTTCAAAGAAGTTTCTTTCAAGAAGAACACACATATATATATATATATATATATATATATATAATTGAAAGAAGTCTCTTCTGCTCACCAGACTGCATTTATTTGATTTAATTATTTTAATATATTTTAAAATGTAAGTTATTCCTGTAATGGCAGTCGAATTTGCATTTGAGACAGCTACACCAAAAAATTACCTTTTGCTGCCTTTCTGAAAATGAGAAATAAGCATAAAAGTATCACTTCCAGAGTTTTTGTTCTAACTGAACGTCACAAGATAAATTGTCTTTTGTTGGCCACTTGATTTCTATTTCAACTTGTAGATTTTAAGATTTTAAAGTTTTTGAAAGATTAGGAGTGGTGATTTTGTGACATTCAAGTCACGACATGGTGTAGCTCAAATATAGCCTTTACTTTTCACTTCAATTCTAACTTCAGATTTTTACTTCTGGAGATTTAGGGCCAGATTTACTAACCGCTTGCGCAAGCGAAACCGTCTTTTGGCATTAAAATAGTACTGTCAGGATTTACTAAAAACGCACTGTGAAGAATTAGCGCTGACAAGGCATGGACAATTATTTTTGCGCCTGACCTTATTGAATAAATTTTCAATAAGGTCAGGCATTTGTAAGAGTTTCCCTTTCAGACACAAAATTTATAGGAGGAGAGTATTAAAATGAATCACGCAACATGATCTAATGTTTGTGCTCATCAAATTACTGGTATTTGCACCATTGTTGCCCAAAAAAAACATGTCTTAAAGTGCCCCTATTATGGATTTTTGAAAATGACCTTTCATGCAGTGTGTAACACAGCTCTAAGTGAATGAAAACATCCTGCAAAGTTTTAAATCTGAAAGTGCACTGTGTGTAAAGTTATTGTCTCTCAAAAGAAAGTCTACTCTGAATCATTGAAACGAGTCGTTTTTAAAACGAATCCCAAGCATTGAAACATTAGCATATTGCCCGCCCACTTGTTGGTCTTTTCGCGTTAGTCTGAATGAAAATGCAAATTCATTCTTTGCCACTAGGTGCCGCTTTTGGAGTAGTAAAAATAGTGGTTTCCCCAGTAACAGCTGTACACAAAGCAGCACTGCGCTCACAAACGCTGCTTTATCAGGCATTACAGGCAGGATGAAATGAAAATGAGACCAATCGGACCAATCGGACCAATCACTGCAGATTAGCGCCACGCAAAGGAGGGGTTTGGAAAATGAATCGTTGAGCAAATCGTTTGGGAGTCGTTGAGCAAGTAAGGTACAAATAAATGCATATTATAAGACAATGAAAGTGTTTTTTGACCTTGCATGCATGTCAACCTGTTGTTGAGGACTCACAAAATCAAAATATGAACCTTTCATTACCCATAATAGGGGCACTTTAAAGCAGTCAGTAATTTGTGCTGCTCTTGGTAGATTGTGCTGGTCATTATGGAAATTATCTGGCTGCGTCTGTCTTTTTTAATGTGTGCATTGTTAGTAAATCACCCGCAGAATTTTCGCCTCCCATCGGCGCTTTTATGGAATTGCGCTCTAATGCTAATTTGCCCTGTTTAGTAAATCTGGACTTGCCCTTTGGTTTCAAAATACATACAATCTGAGTTCATTTGGGAAGATTTTCTACAATAAACCAAGACCCAATGGAAAGATCCAACTGGGAACCAGGGTGATGCTAACTTCCAGGTTGGCCTACAAAAATACATTTGACATTTATAATGGCATATTATGACAAATCCGTAAAGTTTCTAAAATAAAAAAATAAAAACTTAAACCTCACAGTGGTTGAAGCATTAGATATGACAATGTGTTATTAGTTTTGCTCTCTTCAGCTGCAGAGAAACTCTTCTGATAGGCTGTTTTGTAATGGACTGCGTTGTTCTGCAATTCATACCAAACCTTCATGCTAATTATTGATTGACAGCAGCAGTTTGAAGGCACAAGACTTGTGCAAGTAAAGGTGTTGAGTAGCAAATGTATTCAGCCTTGAGAACTAAAACCACTTTATAGTTTGGGAATATTTCATGGCCGAAGCTGACATGTAGTATAGTGGAAATGTTCCGTGGCATTATCCTTTAACTCACCAGAGGGACTTTTGTAAAAAGGCCTTCATAATTGAATTAATAGAGGTGGGGAAAGAGCGGATGAATAGATAAAATGTTCTGACCCCTGGTGGCTGGTGTGTGTCTCCCAGGCCGCAGCGGTGCATGAACACAGGCTAGCTGAGCTCAGGGAAGACTCGACAGCACTGCCAGGAGGAGGGCAGAGGAGCGTAGGCTTTGACACTCCGTCTGTGTCGTCCTTACAGATGCACTCCATGCGACTTCTAAGTCAGAACCAGCCCTCGCAGATATTCCTCAGCATGAGTGACAATGTGCGCCCAGTACAGCCTCTGAACAACCGCTGTATCCGCACCAACATCAACTTCAGCATGCAGGGCAAGGACTGCCCCAACAATAGGGCACAGAAGTTACAGTACCGAGGTCAGTGTCTCTGTGCTTCCTCCTGTGATCTCTCAGCCCGCTTTGAATTAGAGACTAAACCAGCCCATGACAAACTAAAAGTGTTTCTAAAGCTTTCATCATCTACTTCTCCAAAACAACGCTGGCTCCAAGGCAGAATAACATTGTTGGTCATAATGAACAGGTTCGCTAAAGTTACTGAGTAAAAGTTACAGCTTAGTTTCTAGCTGACTATTGAAAAGGTGTGTCAATAATAAATGGCTTTTCCTCTGTTCTCCTCACTTTTCACATTTTTAAGTATTTGGTGATATGTAAAGACAAGCTATGCTTGTTTATTCAAAATAACTAATTGCAACACTTTCATAAAACATTTATGAGGATCCAGTATGCTGGCAGTAGGCAACCAGATTGCTCACTAGGCTTCATAATAGAGCTAATGTGATTTAAGGTATGTTGTACTGTTATACAACACTCAAAAACATGAGCACATGCAAGTAAACAAGCATTTTGTACATATTAGATGAGTGAAATGAATTATGCAGTTTATGAGCAAATATTTACCCTCAAAACAACAGTATAATTACCCTTTTCTTTAAATGCGTCATGTATATAGAGAAGTGATTTTATATTTAAAATAAACTTGCTGGTTGTTCAGTTATCCTGTCAAAAGTGTTTAGATAATTACTGGTAATCTCCTCTTGACCATGCATCATTTATTGACTGAGCTTGTCTAAGAGGCTTAGGAGTCTCAGTAACGCAGAAGTCTATGGGCATCATAAGATGTGTTTGTGCTTCTACCAGAATGCCTGAGATGTTGTTGTAAATTGTTTCAGCGCTAAAGCATCATGTGCAAGGAAAAGAAGGCTCTTATATTGAGCCTGCTCTTATCACAAAATTTCATTATGGAGAATTTGCTTGTACTCTCGATACAGCAGTGAAGTGATGAATCAGAGTTGTGCGGCATTTGTTCAAGAGGTTGGATTTACCACCCCAGTGGATAAATGAGCGATACAAAAAAGGTTCCTTCCTTTTATTACATTTGACTTGTAAAAAGATGTAAATATCTTGGAGGAGAAGGAACGGATAGAGGCATTTAATTAGTGTTGGTTAGGCATCTGAGGTCATTTATTTTAACCAGGGAGACACATCCTTTGTTGCTAGCACAGTGAGGTGCTAGCACAGTGAGGTGTAATTTAATGTAAAATTTTAGCTTGAGGTGGTGATATTCAGAGTGCAAGAGAAAATTGTAATTCTGGGAAACTGCACAATGAACATGATTACAATGTTACAGAGTCTTACAGGACAGGAGCTAGAGCTTGAAAAAAAAAAAAGTCAAATATTGGTGATTTTCAAACGTAGTGAGACAACACCGTGTATATTGAGAGTTTGATTTTGCATATGCATCAGACTAAACTGTTAAAGGGATAGTTCACCCAAAAATGTAAATTCTGTCATGGGACTTTTGAAAAAAGGCCTTCATAATTGAATTAATAGGGGTGGGGAAAGAGCGGATGAATAGATAAAATGTTCTGACCCCTGGTGGCTGGTGCGTGTCTCCCTGGCCACAGTGGTGCATGAACGCAGGCTAGCTGAGCTCAGGGAGGACTCGACAGCACTGCCAGGGGGTGGGCAGAGGAGTGTGGGCTTTGAGAGCTGTCAGAGCCCCCCCAACCTGCCTCTCCAGTTTTCTGCTCTGTTCCCGCTTGAATCTTTGGAAACGCACTACTACCAGCCCTCGCTGCAGCGGCATTGGAGCTAGTGCATGTATTTTTCAAACGTATCCCCCTCCTCCACAGCCAAAAGGAATTATTTATGCCACCAAAGCTATCAAAGTTCTGCGCGATGACGCCGGTGGAATGGCAAACATGCGGGGAGATAGCGATAGAGTGGTAATCAATGGGATAGAGGGAGAATAACAAACTATTTCCTCTGGCTGGCATGAGTCGGAACCTATTACTTGTCTGTTGTCAGTGAAGGTGGGTTCAATATTGCTGTTCCTCATAAATTCAGTGCCACATTATCTCATGTTGGCCCGCTATTGTGAAGTCAAAATAGCATATGCTGTCCAACAAATCAAAGGCAATGCATAAATCCTGAAAATAACAGTTGACAAGCAAAGATAAAAAATTGTTTGGTTACTATTGTTGCTTTCTGTTTTGCTTTTGTTGTTTGGGCATCATTTCAAGACATTCTTTTGTTACTTAATATATTGAATTTTGACTTTGGATGAAGACTTGGCTGGAAAGTGCACTATTTTGATTCAGAAATGACAAATTCATGTTTGCGAATTGGCTATCTAGATTAGTTTTAATTGATACAACATTTTTTTCACTCTTTTTGTGTAGATGATGCGTACCTTCTCTCGGGGCTAAACATTGAGGAAGTTTATCCAGAGACGGCAAGTTTTATCACTTACGAAGGGTCTATGACAATCCCACCGTGCTACGAGACTGCAACGTGGATTCTGATGAACAAGCCAATTTACGTCACAAAGATGCAGGTAAATAAATAAATGAGGTATTTGTAAAGCTTTAAAAAATGGAAATAAGTTTTTTTTTTAATTCATTTACAAAATTATTTTATGTAAACCTCTTGACTGAACTTAAAATGCTACACTGCAATCTATTTATCTATTTAGATTTAGTAATGTTAATAAAGTAGTTGTATTAAAATACTTTTAAGAACTAAAGTTATATGATTATCAATCTCAAGACACAAAACTAGTGAAATAACTTAAAATCCCAAATAGACAACAAGACTGCATGAAACATGACAACTACCTGATCATTTTAAGTGAAGGAACAAACTCATCCAGACATCCTAAGACAACAAGGGATAGTTCACCCAAAAATGTAAATTCTGTCATTAATTACTCACCCTCGTGTCGTTCCAAATCCATAAGACCTTTGTTCATCTTCGGAACACAAATTAAGATATTTTTGATAAAATCCGAGAGCTCTCTGACCCTCCATAGACAGCAAGGTTACTAGCACGATCAACGTCCAGAAACGTAGCACGGACATTGGTAAAATAGTCCATGTGACATCAGGGATTCAACCGTAATTTTATCAAGCTACAAGAATACTTTTTGTGCGCAAAGAAAACAAAAATAACGAGAGGTCTGGGTTGAAGGGAGATCTTACGGGTTTGGAACGACATGAGGGTGAGTAATTAATGACAGAATTTTCATTTTTGGGTGAACTATCCCTTTAACTGTACAATCCAAGTTGTCCTAAAGATGAGACATGCTTTACTTGCCCCTTTTACAGTTTTTCTTAATCGCTATGGTACATTTTTCAAATCATCCTTAACCTCTGCAAACCAGTAAGTGCATTTCTCAAAACATTTTGTACAAACAGCACCACACAATCGATTACCTGCAAAAACTTGTAACTTGCTCATAATTCTTGGTTCATCTATTAGCATTTGTCAATGGACACACCAGTGCCATCAGAATGACAAGTCCCTGTGTCATTGTTCACAAACAAGATACAAGATAGTCAAATGCTTAACCATGTTGGCAGTAACAGTGTACTCTGTATTTCCTGAACTATGGCTCAGGTTTTCATGATTGAAAATGCACAGTGCTGCTCTTTTTCTGTATGGCATAGCAATTTCAACAGTACAAATTTACACATAACTGTGATATTGATTGCAAGAGACTGGACAGTTAGGCCTACTCTTTAACTGGTGGTCTATATATATATATATATATATATATATAAATATAACGTGCGTGTGCATATATATACAGTATCTCACAGAAGTGAGTACACCCCTCACATTTTTGTAAATATTTTATTATATCTTTTCATGTGACAACACTGAAGAAATGACACTTTGCTACAATGTAAAGTAGTGAGTGTACAGCTTGTATAACAGTGTAAATTTGCTGTCCCCTCAAAATAACTCAACACACAGCCATTAATATCTAAACCGCTGGCCACAAAAGTGAGTAAACCCCTAAGTGAAAATGTCCAAATTAGGC